TACGGCTTCTCCAGCTGGGACATCGCGCTGCTGGTGCTGTGGGGGCCCATCGGCTTCTTGCCCTGCTTCGCATTCATGTGGCTCCTGGACAAGAGAGGTGAGGGCCGGGCATGGGGCGGGGGTCGCCGGCCGGCGCTGTCACTCCCGAGGCGGCGCTTGGCCTTAGGGGTCGTGCGAAGTGACCCAGTGTTTGTGGTAGCCCTCATGCCGCTCCTGACAGCGGAACCCGTTGTCCCCAAAGCGACAAGTAGGGGGAGGCTGCTTTGCAATACTTTTTTTGGGGGGGGGTAATACCGGGGATCGAACTCGGTCCTTAAGCACTGGAACCACTGAGCTAAATCCCCGACCCTATACATTTTTTTTAAATCGACACTCTTTTTGAGTTACTGAGAATTTAAGCGATCCTCAAATGAGCACGTTTTTGCTTATTGTGGACATCAGAGCATTGCAGTACATGTGCTATATATGTTTTCTACACCAGACAAAAATGGCAAATGCTTTGACTTCAAAGAGGTTAGGGGATGTTGAGGGTGAAAGGTCAGGAAATTGATGATGCCAGATGTGAGGAAGTAATAATGAGTTGGCTTTGTATAATAGAGGAGTCCCGCCCTGGATGAGCACTTGGGAATCCTAGATCTGACGCTTGGGTTTCTGGAAGGGGTTGCACCACAGCTTTTAAAAATGTGTGTATGGTTTGTTCAGGTGCAGTTTATGACTCTCAGATAAAGCTCATGGATGAACAAAAGTTCTCTTTCATACAAAAGTACTGTGGATGTCTCACTACCACTTGCCAGTGTTATTATGTGAGGAGGGGAAAAATGGCCTTAGGGTTGAGAAGCAAGATACAGAATTATCCCGCGTAAGTAGTCTGGGTAAATGATCGGTAATGATGATCAACTCGTCACAGGCTGTTGTGCAAGATTTTAGATTTATGAGTTGGATAATGATTGGGATTTACTTTGTATATTTTCTGTTTAGTCTTTTATAAGTTTTATTGAAACGAGTTATTGGGTTAGATTTGGATAATTAGCTTAGTCCACAGGAGCTGCTGTAACAAAATGCCACACAGTGGATGCCTTATAAACCACAGAAATTTAATTGTAACAGTTCGGAAGGCTGGGGAGTCCAAGATGCAGGCCTGGGCAGAGTCCATGTCTGGTGAGGACCTGCTTCCTACACAGTGTTCTCTTCCTTGTAACTTCTCACAGGGGAGGAGGCTAGAGATCTCGCTGGGTCTTTCATAAAAGGGCCTTTAACCCTATTCAGGAAGGCTCTGTCCTCTAACCAAATCACTCCCAAAGGCTACCTCCCCTTAATTCTTTCACCTTGGGGATTAGGATTTCAGCATCTGAGTTTGAGGGGAATGCAAACATTGAGACCATAGCAAATTCGAGGGTAGGTCGACATAGAATTGCAATTGTCTGGTACATAGTTAGCACTCAAATTATTTGTTAATGAGAGAATAAATGACTCCTGACGATAAATGACATCCTGATTCCTAACGATTCCATCATAGGAATCCACTTGGAAAAAGATTTAAGGAATTGGTGATTGTGAGTTCATCCACAGCCAACAATGATGTAGCTGCTAAAATGGGAGGACGGTTTTAGGCACAAAAGCACAGTGTTTGAAACAAACGAGAGAAATAGTTCAAAATACTCTTACTCGTAAGCATTGGTTTTTCAGGTCATTTGAGAGAAATAGTTCAAAATGCTCTGTACTGGTAAGCATTGGTTTTCAGGTCATTTGGCAGATTTTAAGTTTGTGTGACAAGAATGATAAAGGGTGTAAAAATCATGATGTACAAGATGAAGAGATCAGGGTGTGTCAGTCCTCAGAAAGAAACTTGATTTAGAATATACACTACGTAAAGATCAAGTAAAAGAGGAATTGGGTTTACTAGCTTACTAGAGTATATGTAGTTCTAAAGAGGAAGAACTAAACTGAGTGAAGTAACTCATTCAATACAAGGAAGGAAGAACCTAACAGCGAAAGGTTTCCAGTTCCTGGAAGGGTATATCTTTTTTCTTTTTTCTTTGAGATAGGGTCTCACTATGTAGTTGAGACTGACCTGGAACTTGCTATTAGCCCAGGCTGGTCTGAACTCACAGCGATCCTCCTGCCTCAGCCTCTCAGTGCTGGGATTACAGGCGTGTGCCACCACACCAGGTTTAGAAGGGTGTGTCTTGATTGATTAGGATTCCAGGCAGAGCAGGTGCTTATGCAGGGGATGAGTGCTAAATCCTGAGAAAGGACTTTGTGTATTGAAACTTCTTTGAGTTTCTTTATTTTTCCTTTGAAAGTTTTTGTTTGCTTTTAAACTAAATTATAGACTTTATTTGGATTTTATCATTTTTCTACTCTTTCTCTCCCCTTTTCTAAAATTCAATCTGGGGTCTCTTATTGCATTTATTTCTTATTTCTTCTTAGTCCTCTCCCCCGACCTGGCAATTCCTCGGTCACTATTTAAAAGGTTGACCAGTTTAGGGTGTCTGAAGACTAAATTGCAACAAATACAACTATTGGTCCAACTGGCTTTTAGTCCTGACTGGTGAATTGGGCATCCTCCATTCTATACAATAAAATGAGAGTTCACACTGGGAAAAAGAAGAGTAGAGGTGTTCGTAGGTGGCAGCAGGAAACAGAATAATAGTTAAGAACACACACACCCACAGCCTGCTAGGTTGGCTGACATCACATTATGGCCATTCACTTTTTTGTAAAGATTAAAGCAGAGACTTCCTTGTCATGCGGACTCAAGTAGACTGAAATCTCTTGCTTTTGGGAAAAAACTGGTCTGTTTAGTGGTCTCTCTGCTTTTCTACAGTTTCAATTTGTTATTTCAATTTGATTATTTATCATGAATGGTTCCATTTTGTTTCTGTCTGGTCTTTGGGGTCCTGGTGCAGGAGCCCAACCCAAATCATTGACCTCCTGTAATTTTTTTTTTTTTTCTTTTTGTACTGGGGGATCAAACTCAGGATCTTGTGCTTTTGAGCAGACAGCAGAACCACTGAGCTAAATCCCAGGAACTCCTGTAATTTTTGTTGAATAAGGACATCCTCTTCTCTGGTTTCTTTTCATCAAAAGCAGTTTTCAATATTATTCTCTAACTTTAGCCAGCTTTGTTTTCTATCATAGAAAAATGTTAGGGTTCACCCTTATTTTTATTATTGTATCTGTAGTCCTTGGCCAGATAAATTAGAAGCTGCTTATTCACTTCATAAGGTAAATTTTTTACTTTAGAATTTATTTTTTAAATATATTTTTATTAGTACATGTGTATGATGAATGGTGAATACCTTCATCTGGAGAGATGGTGCATATTCATATCATATCTTAATCCTTTTTACTTCCCCTTTTCTCCCTCCCCTCTGCTTCCAACACTAATCCTGTCTCATCAGCAAAATATCTGCCTCCCTGTATCCTATGGTTTTTTTACTTCTTTCTTTAAATTATGTATGCTTTGTGTATCTGATATATGAAAAAAACATGTGATATTTAACCTGTGCCTGATTTAGTTTGTTTTATGGTCTAAAGATGTATCCATTTCTCTACAAATGAATTAAATTTGTCCTTCTTTATGCTTAAGTAGTACTCTATTTTCTTTATTCATCTTTGATGAATATATGGGTTTCCAAGATTTAGTTATTATGAGTGGTGTTGCTATAAACATAGGGTGCATGTTTCACTATAATACAATGTCTTTTAACTCTTTGGAGAAGATACCTAAAAAGGTAGAGCTGGGTTGAATGGAATCTCTATATTTAGTGCTCTGAGTACTCTCCATACTGATTTCCATAATGGTTGCACTAGTTTACACATCCACCAACAATGTAGAAGGGTTCCTTTTTCTCTACAACTGACCTATAATTTTTTGAATTCTTGACGATAGTCATTCTTTCTGGAGTAAGACGAAATCTCAGTGTGGTTTTGACTTTCATTTCTCTAATGGCCAAAGATGCTGAACATTTTTCATATACTTATTGCCTATTTGTATTTCTTCTTCTGAGAATATTTATGCATTTTGATTGCCTATTTTTCATTTGGGTTTTTGGGGAGGTCTAATTTTTTACATTCTGTTCTAGACATTAGTCCTCTGTCCAAGGAATAGTTGGCAAAAATTTTTCCCCATTCGGTAGGTTGTCTCTTCACTCTTGGTTGTTTTCCTTGCTGTGCAGAAGTTTATTTGTTTGTTTGTTTATCTCCCAGCAGATTGTTTGTGTTTTAACACCTAGCTCTTTAATTTTGATTTTATGTTAGTACAGTTTAAGGGATAGGGGTCTTAGATTCAGTCTTTTTGCATGTAGATAGCAAACTTTCCCAGCACCATTTGTTAAAGAGGTTATCTTTTCTCCAGCATTTTTATTTTTTTGGTCCCTTTGTTAAAGATCAGATAGCTGAATGTGCCTGGGATCCTTTCTACATCCTCTATTTTGTTCTGTTGTTCCACGTGTTAATTACTGTGTCAATACCATGCTGCTTCTATCATTTTAGCCTTGTAATATAACTTGAAGTCTGGGATTGTGATTCCTCCTGCTCCATTCTTGTTACCCAGGATTGCTTTTGCTATTCCGGGTCTCTTCTGATTCCATATAAATTTTACTTGTTATTTTTTTTTCCTAGTACTGTGAACAGTGCAGTTGGCATTTTGATTGGAATTGATCAGTTTTGTTAATATGATAATTTTGACAATACTACTTCTGCCTACCCAGGAACAGGGGGTGTCTTTTCGTTTTCTGATATCTTCTGCAGTCTCTCTCTCTTTTTTTTCAGAATACTATAATTTTCCCTATAAAGGTCTTTTATTTCCTTGGTTAGGTTAATTCCTAAGTATTTGAATTTTTTTGAAACTGTTGTGAATAGGTAGAAGTTCTTTCATAGTTCTGCAATCACATAGTGACTTGAGTTTTATATTTTAGGTTGGTTGAAGATTTAAACAGTTGTCTCTTTTAGGAAGTAGTTTTCTTTTTCAGTGGTGATAGATAGTACACTTTAATGTGTTGGTTGGCCTGCAAACATAAAAAACAAGTTCTCATCTTTTCTGGATGCTTCTTGTTCCCTAGAAGATCTGGTCTTCATTTTACAAGAGATCCT